AATTAGTACTTATGCCTACGCTCCCTATGTAGTATATAGTCTGCTCGTACGGCTTCACAAATCAAACAGAGTTCACGTCAATTTGCAACCTAAGTAAATCTTTCTTCCACAATGCTATAACCTAGTCTCTTTGCAACACATTCGTCTCTTCGCAAAAACTATGCTCTCTCTGCAACTCCCGACGTGGAGATTTCAGTATATTCCTTAACACCTCACCCGTGTGCTGTATTTTTCAGGACAAGCTGGATTATCGCATGCCAGGCTGCCCGACCTTCGCCCCTGAACTGATGTATTCGGCTAACTTGCGTCCGCTATAAGCCTTCTCGCCAAAAACATATATCTTTTACCCTTTTATTGCCTCCTTTATAAGAGGTGTCCTTATCGTTATACTAGTTGTTCGCCTGGAAGCGTTATGCCAGATCTATACCCAGCTTTATATTATTGCTGTGGTATAGTTTTTCCAGAATTGTCTAATCGCTATCACCCTTTATTGCGGTGCCAAGTTGCAAGTAAAAGATAAGTTGAAACGCCGTATTGCCGTTAAGGTAGCAGCAGTGCAACCGCTTACTGTGCAGAAAACCAAGACGCTTGTATAGCTTAAAGGAGGCAGTATTTAAGACTTTAGTTTCGAGGACGGTCTAGGGGTTTACAAGCTTATTAGCAAAGTCGTGGTTGCAACATAACAGAACGAGAGTCCTACCTTATTATTATTCCCTGCAGTCATCGCGTCAATCACTATACTAACAAGCTTCGTCGCAATTCCTTTCCCCCTATAAGCCTCTTATACGGCCAGCATCGCAATAAATTCCCAGAAGGTGCCGCTCCGGCGGTGTTTAAGCTTACAAACGACTACGCTAATAAGGCCGGTGGAATTAAAGGTCTATAAAGCTGTTAATACTCCATGTTTAATATAATCGCAAAGCCGCTGCTAACCTGGGATAGTACTATATAGCATATATCTCTCTACTAATAGAAAAAGTAGCGGTATATATAGATACTGTACGGCTCCAAGAGATTTTTAGAGATTAGCTAGCGGATGGCTAAAAGGTAGGCGGCTTCCTTAGAGCCCTTATACTGTATATATCGCAGTCTATTAGTATCTATTCAAGCATTGCTTATACCTTTATAGCCAGCCGGACAGCAGTATAGAAAGCTCTAGTAGTAGTATAGTAGAAGGTTGGACGTTAATATAGGCTATAGTTATCTTAGGTGCCTTAGAGCCTGTCACGGTATCGACCGCGACACCCTACCTACCGAAATTCTGCCGCAGATTGCTACAACTCCAGCAATCTGCACCGGCCTACTACCGTT